GGAGAGGTTTGAGGTGCCATGCTGCTGGCAGTGAAGACGGAGGAAGGAGCCAAGGAACTCAGGTGCCCTGCAAAGAAACAGACTCTCCCTGGAGGCTCCAGAAGGAACACAGCCCTGCCGACGCCTTTTTTGAGCACAGTATGACTCTGACTTCTGACCCTTGAACTGTAAGATAATAAATCTGTGATGTTTTAAACCACTAAATTTGTGGTAATGTGTTATGGTAGTAATAGGAAACTAATAAATGTCTTTAGTGAAGAAAGGAAGATTTGCCCAGAGGTCAGGACATTTGATCTAGAGAAAGCAATATGTATCCAAAATATGAGTAGGAGATGTAGTGAGCCCAGCATGTTGAAGCAATGAGGAAAGAGCACTAGCTCTATATAATGTGCTTTAAAAAAACAAACAAACAAACAAACAAAAAATTATGCTAAACTGATAGATAAAATTCAGAGAGTGCCATGTGTTTACTATCATCATCCTACTCCTCCTCATCATCATCAAATGGTCCTATCTTTACATATCTATCAACCATCCATTCACTTATATCTTTACAGAGGCTTCCTGTGTACAATCCCTTAAGGAACAGTGCCAATACTCACTAAGTTACCAGGACATTCTTGATTCTTTCCTCTCTCACCTCTCTACCTCTCACCAGTCCATACCTTTCCTCAGCTAAAACAATCAATGACCATATCTTGTTGCTTTTACCTACAAATTTTTTCTTCAATACCTATGGGCACCACTCCTCTAGTTCAAGCCACCATCAACTTTCTCCAGTTTTACTGAGATTCACCCTTTGTCCAGCATTGCAAGCTTCCACCCTGTTCTTCATGAACTGCTGCCCAGGTGATCATTCACAAATGTCCATGTGAGGACATTTTACTATTAATACTACCCTACTTGAAGCTCTTTATGGCTCTCTGAAGTCTTTGGGATAAAGTCCAAACTCCTTAACAAAGCTCACAGAGGCTTCATAGGATCCCACCCAGCCCTGACTCCTGATCCTTACAGTCCAGCCATACTGAACCTTTATTAGACCCTTAGAGCACCATGTTCTCTCTCTTCTGGATCTTTGCACATGTTGCTTTGTCTACATGGAACACTCCTCTCCCTCCTCTTTTCCAGACTCATCTATCCTTCATACTCAACTCCTCCAAAAGTCTCCCCTGAACCACCTCCCCAATTTAGGGTATATAGCAATACTATATGTTTCTATTTTACTGTATTCTATACTTTTTTTTATAAGCTCCTTAATTAAAGAGGTAATAGTCTTCATTTCTTCAACTTCACTGTAGAAATCTGTGCTAAAATTAGTAATGGAATTACTCCCAAATACAATAAATGTTTGTATATAACACTAAAAGGAATATGAAATGACAATGATGGTATGTATATTTATTTCAGTAAAAAGCAGCTTCCACAGCAGCTGAAGACTTTTAAAATAAAGAAACAAGATTTTTACAGTTTAATAAAACATGACATTATTTACAAAATATTGAGACTGCCTATTTGTTGAGAAATTTTTATTTAAAATTGTCCTTTTGAAATGTCTGGTAGAGATGCAACCTGAATAACTGAATCTTATATCAGATATAATTTTTGGTTGGTCATAAAATTTTGTGGGCTACAAAACAATTCTTAATGAACTTGAAATGAGTTTGCCTTGACCTATGACAAAAGACCATATGAAAAACACAGACATACACAAACACCAATTAAAAAAAAAAAAAGAACATTAAGTGTTCATTAACAGGAAAGTGTTTAAGTAACGTATGGGACATTCATACAGTGGACTCAGTTAGCCACTTGAAAGAATAATACAGAGCTATATCCACTGACATGAAAAGATTTTTTTAATATATTATGTGAACAAACAACCTGTAGAACAGTATATATAACATTACTGGGATCACAGCGTTTTTCTAAATTATGTGTGCCAACACTCTCTATGTAGTAAGCCCTTCACCATAGCTAATGTTGTACTTTCTTACAGAAAAGTTTGTGGTGTGTGAGAGTAAGCAGGAGTCTCTATGAGTCAGCACTCCCGCAATACCCAGCATATGATCGATAGTCATCATACTGCAAATTCCTATGACCCTCTCAGAGGCAAAAGTGAAATTACATTTAGTAATCTGCTACATATCATTGGATTCTAGTTGTTTGGAAATTTGTAACACATTTATGAAATACACAGTAGCTTTCCATTAACCAAACACCCTTCTGTGTAACAATGTAATAAAATGAGGAAACTTTTTGAGTTTTTAGGAAGAGAAACACTAAAGAAATACAATTATAATTATAGTGTATATCTTGTAAACATTATTTCTGAGGAATTTTTCTATGACAATTAAATCCCAATTAAAAATAAAGAAACTCAACTTGAGATAAACTGGCTGGCAGACTCCAATTTTCTATTCTCTCAAATTCTATGTTCATCACACAGCTCATTAGGTATGTAAAGGTATATATCTAATATCAAAGTATAGAAACAACAAGAAGAAGTAAAATACACACACATTATAATAAGAAAGTAAAACATAATATAATAGTACATATTAAGTTTAATCTCTTATTTTCCTTATCAACGGTTAGCTTGAAAAAAATTATCAAAATAACTGAAACTTTTCCCATTATCTCCAAATTTAAATTGAGATATATAATAAAAAATAGAAGAGTAGCTTACTAAAAACATAGTGAATAAACAAAAACTAAATGGGAAAATATAAATTAGGAAACATTATCTTCTGAACTAATTCTCCAACTACTATGTATATTTTTCAAATGTAAATTAGGAAACATTACTTCTGGACTGACTGACCATCCTCTACACATTAAAATTCCAAAATATGATTGGTTTTTCACTAATAGTGTGTATATTGTTGACAGTGTTCTTTTATTACACACTTTGATTTACCATCACAAGTTTTTTCTCATTATTTTGTAATTCATATAACATTGTAAACAAACCCATACCTACAGCAGAAATGAATCTGGGTCATACAAATGACCCAGTGCAAGAAAGTTGCTTAATGTTAGGAATATAATTCAATGGTAGTGTGATATGGAAAAGGGCCTGGACTGAATTCCAGGTGAACCCTAGTAAGTTATTTCCCTTCTCTGAGCTTCAGTTTCCTCACCTATAAAAATGGAGATAACATCAACTACATTGCAGGATTACTAAGAGGTATAACAATAATACAAATAAAGAACACACCCAGAAGACAGTACTTGGCATATTCTGGGTAATAATGTGTTTGACAAATAATAACACAAGTGTTTACTACATGCCAGATACTGATTTAAGTGCTTTACATGTATAATTTAGTCAGTGAATAACTAGCACTGCTTTCATCTTCTGCTTCTTCCCACCCTATAGGGATAGCTCAAAACTTTTAATTCAGATTAAACAGTATATAAATAATAATAACTATGTGTCAGACACTGTGCTAAATAAGTTATATGGATAATTTAGTCAATGAATGATAACTATCACTGCCTTCATCTTCTGCCTGTCCCTGCCCTATAGGGATAGCTCAAAAAATTTAATTCAAGTTAAACATTATAGAAATAATAACTGTGTCAGATACTGTGCTAAATAAGCTTTATGGATTATTTCATTTAATCCTCACCATAACTCTCACATTAATAAAGTAGAAACTATTATTAACCTTCTTTTACACATTAGGAAATTTAGGCTTAGAAAGATTAAATAACTTGCCTAAGGCCACACACCCAGTAAAGTCTCAATTCAGAGTCCACAAGCTTAGCAATTTTGCCACACTAAAAAGAAATACTACTTTGAATTCAATAATGTCAAAATAGCAGACGTGTACTGTTCAATGACAGTTGGTTGTTAATGAGTTTTTCAAACAGATGAGTCAGACCAACAATACCTATCAGGATCTACACCAGATCACTAGCGTTTCCACTTTGTCATCTGAAACAATTCCAATCTCCTCCCAAAGGGACTCTGAAGTGGTGAGAATTCCAATTTCTAATCAGATAGCCGTTCACAAACTGCTTATCTTCTGAGAGAGCAGTTTCTAATGCTCTCCACACAAGGGAAGCAAAACCCTGGCTCTGACCTAAACTGGGCCAGAAGAAAAAAGAAAGAAAATCTCTTCACTTAATAACAACTGGATCAGCTACCCCACCATCACGGACCACGAAAGCACTCTAAATTTATAAGATTGAATCCTGTGGTTTGAAAAGATTAGGAAGGAAACAGGCGTGACTCCACAAGGAAGCACGCCCTCCAAAAATTTTCCCCCTGACTTCTTTGCAAGCCTGCCCTTGCTTTTGCCAGCCTCCCCCAGCGCGGTCCCCCAAACCGAGGGCTGTGGGTGGGGAAGCATCCTCAGGGGCTCCAGTTATATGCCCTAGGGCCACATATCTGGGCGTTCTGGGCCCTGCCCGGACTGCAGGGAACAGGGAAGAGCCCCCAAGCCCTGCAACAGGGCAAGATGACAGTCTGTGGCGGTGTCTTTTCAGAGTCAGTGACTTCTTCAATTCTTCCCGCGGGTGATGATGAAGAATCAAGTGACCCTCCACGCGCTAGGCGCTCGGGCACGAGGGCGCCCCTGGAAACTCTACACTGGCCCCAGGCTGCGATTCCTCTCAGGAGTGTGAAGCAGGCGGGTAGCGGTTCGACCGCCTGCCCCGCACCGCCCAGCAGAGCTCGCCCGCACCAGCGGCTCCCACAGCCCCGGCTCCCGCCCGCGCACACCTGTTGCCCCTGTCGGCGCACCAGGGCGGGCAGGCGAAGGCAGGCATACCTTCACCTTGACGGCCCCGGGGACCAATCAGAGCACGCGACTCCCGCAGCCAGCCAATCGCAGAGCATCTTGGCCCCCCAGCGCGGGGACCCAACCAAACCTCCGCCGCGACCCCGCAGAGCGCGCGGGGACCCCGAGAGCCTTCGGACGGAGGCGCGGAAGTCCTGGGATGGCGAGTAAAAGTTCGCGAGGGAAGGGGAAGGCGAACAGGGAAGTACTCACCAGGCGCGGGAGGGTCACTTCTCCCTGCGGGGCGACATCTCAGCTCAATCTGTGCCGAGCCGGCACGCCCCTGACCAACCGCCGCCGCCGCCGGGGCCTCAGGGCTAGCCGCGGTCCGCCGCCGCCTGTTTCGAAGGGACCAATCAGAGGACGGGGGCGTGGTCTGGAGGCCCCGCCCCCGGGCGCCCAGGGCACGCGACTAGCGGGAGCGCCTCAGGCTGGCCTGCAGCCCTGCCCGCCGCCTCGGGGCGTCCGCGGACCTTGGTGGCCCAACCTCTCGTAACTGAAAGGCGAAGTGGCCTAGTCACTGAACAAGTCCTCCGATCCGGCCTCTCAGCGACAGCCCCTCCTGTTTGTCCTGATGCAGGCGGGAGAGGTGAATCAGCCTGGCCTCCGAGGGTTGCTTCTTGCTGGCCGGGACGTTGCGGGGTGCAGTTGAAGGGCGTCTCCCTGGGTTTTACCTGGATCTGTTCAGAGCTGCTCCCACCCCAGATCCACTGAGAACTGGCTGTCCTGGTGGCTCTGCGGTTTCCAGAGACACAAACTGTAACCCGGTAGGCATGGAATCCTAAGCAGAAGTCTCAGGGAGGCTTGTCTTCTCGGGCATGTCAAGGATGGAGAGGAGTCCTGTAGCTCCAAGTCACAACTGGAAGTGAAAGGAGGATGTTGGCTCTTTAGGAAACACCAGAAGCCGGAAAAAAAAAAATATTAACCTCAATAAGGGAGGCTGACTAGCTCCGAGGGTGGAAATAAAACTGAGACTAGGCATCAGTGTAACAATGTAACGACAAAGTCGTTGTTACAATGTAACAATACATAGATCTGTGTTAAGTGTGGCTTGTTTCATAGTTTCTAGCGGAGGTCCTGCCCCTCCTGTTAGCTCTGTTACCTTTGTCGAAACGTGTCACCTCTCTGGGCCTCAGTTCCCCATCTGTAAAGTGTGGGCATTAAACTGGAATTATAGTCTCTCCCTCTCTCCATTCTCTCAACAAAACCAGTGAGACCTACTGTTGCTTTCTTCAGAAACTGAAATGAAGAAAACAGTCCCAAGCCTTCAAAGTGCTCAGCAGCTTGGTAAAGGCCAAATGGAAGTCTATGGAGGTCTGTGAAAGAGGGAACAGCTAAGAGTCTTTAAGGGTGATGGTCAGGTTTGAAGGAAACTGAATTTTGAAGTTTGAATAAGATTGTGTCAGGAGGGAAGGGTAATTGGGAGTAAGGAGTGCTTTCCATGGAGAGGGAAGAGCAAATGCAAGGTTCCAGAGATCCGAAAGCACAAGAAATGTTCTGGGAATGGCAGTTTTGAATGACTAAGATTTGACAATCAGGAGACAGATCAAGGTGTAGGAGTAGGCACAGATGGAAGGTCTGGTAGGTGCTGAGGAAGCTAGATTCTTTTCTGCAGGCAATTGAGATGATGATAAGGAGGGACTGATATGAACATATTTGTGTTTTAGAAAAAAATGTTTTCAAGGAATTTTGAGGAAGGGAGTAAGATAAGTGGCAATTCCAAAACTTAAAAGATGACAATTACCCAAACTATCTCAGAAAGAATGGTGGGAAAGAGGATGTCTTTATATATACATATATATATCTTTTACATTAATTCACAGTACCCCACTCCTTAAGCACACTTACTGTATTACCTGTCTTGATTTTAACACTGCAATTAGTAATTGAGGGTTCCATCTAATGAGCTGCAATCTGCTTTCATGTTCAGGCTTTCTAATTGGTGGTTAGGTTAATAGGCATGTTTTAGAGGGCCTCTCTTTACTTCAAATTGGCATGGTTGTAACACGCAAAGCAAGACTCACCAGTTTGCTTCCATCAAATCACAAATTTGACTAGTTCTGACTTTCTAATTGTGAAGATATACTTCACTTAAAGAAAACACCATGTTTGGAAATATAAGTTTTAACATTAGGAATAATCATTCATCTGACTAAAAATCTCTCCAGAATACAGGAGGGTCTGTAATAATCATATAACACTTGGATCTTGAAATAAGATTTGGCTTTTTCACAGCCCTACAAGAATTCTTCTACTGTTTAAAATACACTGTAGGTGTTGGAGTTTTTTTGTTTGTTTGTTTGTTTGTTTTTGATCAGTTTATTAGTTGTTTTGTTCTGCATTTTGTTGTCATTTTATAAATATTTTTAATTCTTTGACATTGTTTGATGTCAATCTATGGATGGTGCTTTGTGTAAAGTACTTGATGCAATCTTTGTGCAATTGGGGTATTGATTCATTTACAATTAATTGAACTCCTTATTCAGCAAATAACTTATTGGGAGCCAACTATACTAAAAACAATACTAAGCTCTGTCTTAAAGGAATGTTACTGATTAGTGTTAGCAGATATTATGTATAAGTAACTCCATAATATGAAATGTTATGCTTACAACAGCTGTGGTCGAGGATGAAAATAATAGTCCCAAACCCCTCCAACAGACTAACAGACCCTCTTTTGGCTAAAATCACCAAACTGTAATGCTCCCACCATGGCAGGATGGGAGGGTGGTCACATCCCATTTACTTTCACTGCTGAGCCCTTGCTAATCATTACTAGATTTTGTCAAAGGCTGGCTTGAGAGAAATGAAAGGCTGGAAGACCCCTCACTTCATTCATCTCACCACCTGGCACCCTCCTCCTGTTTTTTATGATTCTGACATGTCAACTATTCTGGACCACAAAGAACATTTTCCTGATGTATGACTGTGGACTATGAACTAATTTGGGCCAGTCTCCTGAGGATGCAGAGTTCAAGGACTTATGCCCTATATTTCACCTTTTTATGTATAGGACCTAATTATAATTCATTTAAATGTTGAATCTCCTCCCTAAAGTGAACATGGGTCATATGTTTCTATATGTTACACACATGTAAACCTAATGTACATACATGTGGGGTTTTTTCATGAATATTCATGAACTTATCCTATATCCTATTGAATATGTATACCCTGCTGCCCCATTTAGACTGTGTACCTACTTCTTTCTCTCCTCTGATGCCTGGCTTTATGGTTTTAACAGAGGCTTGCTTCAACCCTACAAGACATAATTCCCTTAGAAATAAAGCTATCCCTTTAAATTCACTAACTTTGTGACTCTTTTTCAGTCCATATGGTTAATACTATAATGTTACGTTAAATCTGTGTAGTGAGTTGAAGTGTGCCCCCCCCCAAATTCATGTTCATTCAAAATCTCAGAATGTAATCTTATTTCAAAATAGAGTCTTACAGGTGTAATTAAGGTAAGGATTGAAATAAGATTACATCATACTGGATTATGGTGGGCCCCAAATCCAATGAGAGTGTCTTTGTAAGAGACAGAAAAGAGCACATTCACACAGAAAGGAGGGAGGGAGGAGGAAAGGGAGGAGAGAGAGAGACCAGGTGAAGACAGAGACAGAGATTGGGACTGTTCTTCCATAAGCCAAGGAATGGCAGGAGCCATCAGAAACTGAAAGAGGCAAAGAAAAACTCTCCTGGAGACTTTAGAAGGAGTTTTGCCCAGCTAATACCTTGATTTTGGACTTCTGTCCTCCATAACTATGAGAGAAGAAGTGCTTGTTGTTTCAGCTGCCAAATTTGTAACAATTTGTTACAGGAACTCTAGGAAATTAATATAATCTATATCTGGAGAGGGATGTAAAAATCTGACAACATAGCAAGAATGACTGCAGCAAGCTACAATTTCCATTCCTCCACTTCATGTACAAGAGGTGGTCACAAATATTAGCAATGTAGTCATACCAGGCTCTCACAGAGCTTATTGCCCAAGTATTACCAAGTTTCTATCACATATAGCTATATGTGAGAGAAAAAATCTTCAAGCTCACTTAAGAAAAAAGAGAATGTAATGGCTCATGCAATTAAAATCCTGGGATAGAACTCTCTAAATTTAAGCACAGCTTGACCCAAGATTTCAAATAGCATCATCGGAATCCAGTCTCTATTGGCTCTGCTTCTCATGTGGGCTTTATTCTCAGATGCCCTCTGGTTACAAGATGGTTTCCAGGACTTCTAGTTCTACATTCTCTTAGGTTCAGGTCTAATCAAAAAGTAACTCTGTGTAGTTTCTCAAGTTAGAAAACACAAACCATTCCCGGTGCTTCCAGAATAGGGAGTTTAACATGGATTTTGCTTCACAGAAGATAGAATTGCTGAGAAGATAAGCAAGAGAAGAGACAACCCAGAGATGACCAACAGTAGGAAACCACCACAATTCTAGGGTCTGTAAGTTCAAAAGAGGAGTTCAGAAGCTAGGAGCGTCAGCACTAGGGGAGAGTTTTCCCAGTGGGACTGGCAGCCATGTGGGAGATGCAGTCTTTACCGGAGATGAAATCTGCAGCAGAGAGGGTGAAAATTAGCCTAGATTTTCCCTTCTTCCATCGCCTAATCTTTCACCAGTCCTTCAGTGATTGAACTTGGCCAGAGCCAACAGGGGACCTACTCAATGCAGCCTGTTAGGGGCTAGCCATCCTTCCCAATGTGAGCAGAGAAGGGAAGGGTAGGAATGGAACTGAACACAAACAGGATATATTGGTGCGGTTTTTGCTGTGATAACTTTATAACAAACAACTTCCAACATTTTGTGGCTTACAGTAATACACGTTGATTTTTCTTGTTTGTGAATCTGCAAGTTAGTTCACGGTGGAGGAGAAGGGTTCTGCTTCAAGCTGTAGGTTGGGTTTAGGCATGCTCCTTCTGTCTCTCATTCTGGGGCTTGCAGCTCCCCAGGGCATGCTCTTCTCATGGCACATGGCAGATGGACAAGAGCAACAAGAAGAAACATGTGATGTCTCTTAAGGCCTTAGCTCAGAACGGACAGACTCTCACTTCCACCCACATTCCATTGTCCAAACAAGCCACATGGGCAAGCCCAATATCAGTGGGTGGGGATGTATGTTCTGCCCACTGTCATGAGAGGCACTGCAAATTTGTAGGGCAAAGGGCCTGGACATATAATTCTATTACTGGGAGAGAATGAAGAATTTGGAACAATAATACAATACACAGCATACAAGCAAATGACGGGCACCACCTTCCTCCCAAAATTGCTCCAGGCAATATCTCTCATTTTCTTTAAATGAGTCACATGCCCAATCCTAAACTAATGGCTGTGATATGCGATGTAGGATGCTCTAATTAGCTATGCCTGAGTCACATTTCCAACTCTGGGGCTGCGGGTGGGATCAACTAGGAGAAGGGAAAAGGCTGGTTCCCCTGAGGAAATTAGAGGACTCTTATCAGAAGCAAAGGCAATAGATATTCTGAGTATCCAAAAAATAACAGTCAGATAATACCCAAATATAATATGTGACAATTTACTGAATTTATTATTTCTCACAATATGAAAAAAAGAATAAATTTTAATTTTGTAAAAATCTGGGAAAAAGTAAAATTCTACTGCTGTAGAATCAATGAGTGAAATCAGTTTCTGATTCTCAAACAAAAACGAAATATGGGCTATGGTATGAATACTTGTGTCCCCCTAAATTTTATATGTTGAAATTCTCATCCCCAAGGTGATGGTATTAGAAGGTGGGGCCTTTGGGAAGCGATTAGGCCATGAGGGTGGAGCTGTCATGTTTGGGATTAGAGCCCTTATAAAAGAGACCCCAGAGAGCTAGCTCTTGCCTTCCACCATGTGAGGACACAGCTAGAGGGTGCCATCTATGAACCAGGAAGCCCTCACCAGACACCAGATCTGCTAGTCCCTTGATCTTGGACTTCCAGCTTCCAAAACTAGAAGAAATAAATTCCTGTAGTTTATAAGCTACCCAGTTTAGGGTATCTCATTATAGCATCCTGAAGGAACTAAGGATTAGAAAGAGCAGGACTTTTCAACCTCAGCACATTGACATTTGGGGCCAGATTATGGCTGCAGGAGACTATTCTGTGCTTTGTAGGAGGTTTGGCAGCATCTCTAGCCCCTACCCACTAGATGCCAGTAGCATGCCTGCCCCTCAGTCATGACAACTAAACTGTCTCCAGAGATTGCCAAAAGTCCCTGTGAGACAAAATCACCCCCCTCCCTCTGTTTAGGACCTGGGGTGGGGAGAAAGGTAAAGGAAAAGAACAAGGAAACTCCTTTATTTGCCCCTTTCTCGGTTGGTTTAAGAGGATGCAGAGCTCTGGCAAGTGCATCCTGTCTGGAAGCCTAGAATATAGGTGGGGCAGGAGGCAAGGCAGGAGTAGGACAAATGAGGAAGTGTCTCAATGGCCAACTGCTCTGCCAAGGAGGTAAGAGTTTTTGCTGAAGACAGTAGGAAACCATTAAGTGGGGTGTGTGGGGGAATCCTTCTAATGACAGTGTGGTAAAGGATCCATGAAAGTGCATATCAGAGAGTGGTTCTTTCATAGAACTTGTAATCTGTACTTCATTTTTTGTGTACTTATTTCTCATCTGTCTCCATTACTAAATTATAAATTCCATGAATCATGTTTTATTCACTGCTGTCACTCCATTACATCAAAACTCAAGAGATATTTAGAAATAAAACACCAGCAATACATTAGCAATACACCAGCATATGGCAGTTGATTTTATTAATAATAATAATAATAGCTACCATTTACTGGGTGCTTAGCACTTGCTGGTGCCACTAATTAACTTGCTTTTGAAACATCATCAGGCTTAATTTTCACACCAACCCTGTTAGTTAGGAATAGCATATTGTCCACATTTTACAAATAAGGAAACTGAGGCTTAAAGAGGTTTAAATAAGTTTTTTTTTGAAAGGTCACATAGCTAATTAATGGCAAATCAGCTTCTGTGATACTCCATATCAATGATATGCATTTTCCAACCATAAAGCCAGATTCTGCCATGTTTCTTCATGGGTATGATATCTAATTTCAAATTTGTACTCTTCTTTTACTCCTTATCTTGCTCTGTGGATTTTCCTTAAAGTCTCACAAAAATGCTTTGTGGGGAAAAAAATCTATTAGTGAACCGTTTCTACTCACAACACCAAATGGATAGGCTTTCTCCACACCAATAAGCAGTTCCGACACCAACTGGGTGTCCTACAATTGAATTCAATTCTGACACCAAGTACCCAGAGGTAGTGCAGACCCCACAGGTTGGAGGCTCAAGATTGCCCCCACTTCAGATGCCAGCCATGAGGACCAGGGGACACCCGTACTTCTGACCAGCCAGCTAGAAATCGGGGGTTCCCACACCCCATCCTCGGGTTTCAATAATTTGTCAGAACAGCTCACAGAACTCAGGAAAACAGTTTACTATTCCCAGTTTATTATGAAGGATACAATTCAGGAACAGCCAAATGGCAGAGAGGCCAAGGCAAGGTGCGGGGCAGGGCAGAAGTGCAGAGCTTTGTGCCATCTCCAGGCATGCCATCCTCCAAGAACCTCGGTGTTTACCAGCCCAGGAATTTTCCAAACCCCATTTAGGGTATTTCTATGGAGGTTCCATTGGCTGTGGGGATTGAAATCATTTTCCAGCCCTTCTCCTCTCCTTGTAGGTTGGAAATTGGGGCTGAAAATTTAAACCCTCTAACACCTGGTTAGCAACAAGTCCCATCCTGAAGCTATCTAGGAACACACCAAGGGTTATTATTAGTAGCATAAACTCAGGTGAGGTGGAAAAGGGGGCTTGCTGTAAACAGTAAAAGATGTTCCTATTACCCCTATCACTTGGGAAATCCCAAGGGTTTTAGGAGCTCTGTATCAGAAACTGGGAACAAAACCCAAATACATACTTCTTACAGTATTGCAATTAGTTTTCCCTGTGATAAGCATTATTGTTTGCTATTACAAGGCCTTAACCACTTGAATAAATCCAGACCTACAGGATTAAGCTTCTGGCTCTGTCTACGCAGCCCTATCGACTCTGGCTCATTCCCTACCGATTTCTGCAGAGATAGCTTGTGATCTGGAGGCACCAAACCATGTTTGGTTCCGTGCAACTGGATCTACCCTTTCAAGCATTCAGAAATTGTTTCTTAAATGTCCTTTCCTCACCATTCTCCTCCCCTGCTGGGCCTGCAACTTCCCACTTACTCTCAATTAATCGCCTAAACCCCTCTAAGCAGTAGGTGCTGATCTCTTCTTTTTATAGTGGTGAAACTAAGCTTAGTCGTGCACCCTGCCTTCCTCCCCCAGATCACTTCTGGTCTTTTAATATCTGCACAATTCCCCACCTTTCTCCTTTTGCTACTGCCTCATCTCTCCGCCCTGAACTCCCTTCCCTCTTACTCTGACCCATAGAATTTGGGGCTATCCTTTGAAGCCCAGAGAAAATTCCATCTTTTTCATGAAACTTGCCTAGGTTCCTAGTAAAGTCCACGGCACTTTCCTCTGCACCCCTTTGTAACTCCTTCCAGGCAGTCACTGGGTCTTAATCATTTTATAACCCCCGTGGAGTTTAGCAAATGAATCTTGTACTTAGTGGGGACTCAAGACATTTTTGTCATATCAAATAGAATCCAACTGATGTAGCCCCAACTCATTCCCTTTTCCACTGACTAGTTATTTTTAGAATTCCAGGGTTATTTTAACACACACAAAAAACTCTTTGCTTGCTAAGCAAGCTCCATTTTGGCTGACTTCAGGAGAAAGGGAGATATTAGCCCATTATTTATAGAAGGTGTTTTATTGTATTCACCAAAGGATAGTGGGGAGAAGAATGCAACAGTATAACAATGAAGGAAGGAAATGAACTAATTCCTGCTTTGGGGGAAGTGTACAACAGCTGTGCACCCAGCTGTAGGAGTGTTTTCAAAAAGCAAAACAAAACAGAAAAATGATTAATTGTATACACTGAAGCCAATAGTGAGCACTTTTAGGAGACATGAGGGAAGGTCCCACCATTGTAGTTATCTGTATATTCTAAAATTGTAAATGAGGCCTAAGACCCAAACTATGGGAAAAGGAAATGCCTGAGGGAATATTTTATGTGAAAATCGTTAAGTTTTCTTTGCGCTATTCTCTTTGAACTTCAAAGAAAAGGAAATGATCAGAGGGTTATTACAAATGAAAGAATATTCACCAGGACTTTTCTGGGATGAGAAAAGTGTCATTTATGTTGGGAGAGTGTATCTTTCTATAAATTTTACCCCCTCAGGTTCAGTAGGATGTCTTTCAGCACTTAAAGAAACAAGAGTTTTTATATTTGTCAAATTTTGCTCCCAAAGAAAAGCCTATTTGCCATTATGTTTGGTTTATTGCCAAAATTGAATACAACTCTTTAATAAAATAAATCCAATATGTTAAAGGGAAGAGCAAAATGAGATTTTTTTCCCAGTTCAACAGGTAGAATTGAAGTAACAATCAATTTAATTAGGCAAACAGGGCATACCAGTTAGAACGTAGGATTCCCCGAAGCCTTGTGAAATACAATGCAGACAAAGTGATTCTATCTAGCCCCGTATTTACAATTGTGGAAATTATATGTGTAATTATTACATAAATATTCATCAAGATTCCTTGGATGAAACCAGGTACAAATGAAACAAAGGAATGTTATACATCAGATTTATAGCATGAGTGAAAAAAGTAGCCAGCCCCTTCCCCTGCAATGCTCATCACTGTACATCCCAGACTTCGCAGAGAAGTGGGGTAAACTTGTGGTCGTTCACTCTCCATGACATCAGCATCTCCGCGTGGTGGTGATTGAATGTCCTCAGTTCGGTCAGGCGGCCCAGCAGACAGGCAAAATGTTGAGGATTTTCAGGCTGATGGATCTTACACAACTTCTGTAGCACGTCGAGCAGTGGCTCCTGAAGCTTCTCTATTGCCTCTCTATCCTTTATGTACTGTCTGTCTGTTTTGAAGTTGGAAATAAAACGACAAAACAGAAAAAAGTGGAAAAGCATTAATTTGGCATAATTACAGCAATGCTAACTTTTCTGAAGTGTAAGCTTACAAATGTTGTGCACTTAAAATGTACACACTGTGTCCAATTGGATGAATTTTTATATATATACACACACACACACCTATATTCATGTAATCACAACTAGATCAAGATACAGGACATGTAATGCTCCAAAGAAACCTCCCTAAATTCCCATTCCAACCAGAAACACTAAATGTGGACATAGTGTCCTTTCTGGTGGGTATAGCTTCAGCAGTGGAATGGCTGGGCCATAGGGCACATGCATAATTTTAGTAGGTTCTGCCGAAAAGTTTTTTTTTTTTTTATCATACATTATAATTTTTATGGTAAAATAAAGTAACAACTAGCACTTGCTCCCAAATTATTACATATAAAAACACAGATACGTTTTATGTACAGAGGTATTCATTTCAACATTGTTTAGGACAATTTGGAAATATCCTGAATATAGTAAAAATTAGGTAAATGTTTATATATCTACACAATGGAATACTATGCATATATTACAACAAACTCTTACCAATATAATTTTTTAATGACTTGTGAAAAGACTTTTGAAGAAATGTAAACTTAGAAGACACAATGTATTCTCTATTATGTTAAAAAGTATATAATTTCATTTGTATCCCCGCTCAAATATCAACCACTTAGAAAAGCCTTCCCTGAAAAGTACTTAAAATAGCATTTTCCTGCCACTTTCTTTCTTTATAGTCTCATTGTTATTTTTTTGTAACATTTGTCACCTCCTGAAAAATTATTTGTATTTGTTTCTTCATTTATTATTTTTTTTCACCCTCCTAGAATGTAAGCTCCTTGGGAGCTGTATCCTGCTGTATCCCCAATGTCTAGAACTATGTTTAGTACACAGTAGGTGTTCAATACACATTTATTCAATGAATGAGTATCATGTTTAGAAAAAAGACTGACTGTTACACTAAACTGTTAGCAATGGTTCAATTTGAATGGTAGAATTGTAGGCCATTTTACTTTTTCCTTATATTTCTGTGTTTTCCGGATTTTTTTCAATAAACATTATTACTATAATACAGAGGAAAACATGGCATAAAAATTAAAACATAACATAGAAATTACCTGGAGAGAGGATGACAATTGCTGTGAGCAGAGCATATTCTTCTTGAGTCATTTTCAATTCCCCAATACTTTTATAAAAACTAAACATAGGCGTTATATAGTCATCAGAGATACCTGTGAGGGAAGTTGCAGAATCATAATAAAAGTTTTGAGTAACTGAAAAGGGTAAATCTAGAAACACATTATATATATACATATGTTACTTTTTGCACCCATATGCACACATTCAAATACTTACTTATAGATCCCAAAGGAAGGTCATTGCAAAGATCAGTTAACGAAATCTTCAATATACAGCCTATTCAGCAGTATCTTTGTTCCAGTCACTACTGAATAATAAATGATAATGCTCCCAAACTGCCAAAAGAATCCCAGGAACGTCACTGTTTTCTAGATGGTATTTAGTTAATCTTTTTAATATCAATATCTATAATCAATGCAGAGATAGCATCTTAACAAAAAGTGGTTGTTCTTCAGTCCAAAAACGTAAACAGCTTCATTTAATAAATAGGCCAGGGTTCTTATCAAAGTGTTCTGATCTCTCTCTCTCTGAAGTAGCAAACCTTTTATTTATCCATTGCCTCCTAAGCATTGGTACTTGGATGTTCTCTTCAGACTCAATATGTCCAAAATCAAGGACACTGTGTACAGAACTAAACTCTTGCAATTTCCTCCAAATCCACTCCTGTCCTGGCGTTTCCATGCTCAGTGGCTGCTAGCCTCACCCACTCAATTGCCTGGTCTGACAACTGACATTCAGGTGTCCAGTCCTGTGGCTTCTACCTGCTCAGTCTCAAGTGATATCCACAGCCCTCTCTACTGCACCTGGCACCGGCTTAGTTTAAGCTCCCAACTCTCTTCATCTAGGTCTTGCAGTTGCCTCCTTACTGGTCTTCCTGCCTTCGGTCTGGTCCCCTTCCAGCCACCCTCTATTCAGATACCAGAATGACCTTTCTAAAAATTCAAATCTTTCTCCCCACCTCTTCTTATAAACCTTCAAAAACACTCTGTGGCTTTTGACATACAGTTTTAATTTTCTCCCTTTGTGCATAGGAACCTCTGAGACCTGTCCCCTGCCTATCTCACCACTCGAGATAATAACAACAGGAGTTCATGTATAGTGTGCACTCACCATGTACGAGGCACTGTTCTAAACACTTATTGTGCTAGAATTCATTTGATATCTCTAAATCCCACGAGGTAGATTCAGAGAGGTTATATAACTAGCCCAAAGACACACAGCTGGTGAGAGGTAGGAGCAGGATTCAAACCACAGCTGGCAGGCTCCAGAGTACTGACGGTGAGCTGTGACTAAGCTGCCCCACCTTCCCTCACACAGCCTTTCCTCTGGCCACCCTCAGCCACACGCGGTTCCCCAGGCAAGTCACGCTGCCCAGTTTTTGTAGATGTTTTTCTCTCTACTTGGAATATCCCCCTTCTCCTTTATCTAGCTCAGTCCTCTCTGTAATTTAAGACTCCTTTGTGCCATTTGCCCCACTCATTCAACAAATAGTAGTTTGGCACCTGTTCTGTGCAAAAGAGCCTTTGGCTGGGGAATCGTGGAGACAGAAAAACAAGCAAAACGACAGCAACAAAAAACCTGTGATGTGACTTAAGAATGAATTAAGATGAGGATGAGTTTTTCAGGACTCATCCAGATGGAAATAGACTGATCTTTTCCTTCGCAAACCAGATCTAGAGCCAAAGAGCTTTGGCTGAACCAAACCAGAATAAGATTTGCTTCCAGATGCTACCGATATTGTTATCATCTAATGGTACACTTCGCAGAGAGCGAACTTATCAGAAAGTCTGAATCCTCTCACCTTTAGAAGAATATAAAGAATCTTCCCAAATTGAATCCTTGGCCTTTCCCTCTCGAGTCCAAATACCACACTCCTCTCCCCTTCGACTTTGGGTTTTTTAATTGGTCCCAGTGGGCTCTATTAACAACAGTGTCTTTGTTGAACAACTTGGGGATTGCATCACGTGGAAGACTGCCCTTTACCCAGCTGTTACAGATTGAACAGAATACCCATGAGCAAACCAGATACAGCTTAAAATGCAGAGGATTGGAGTATGTGAGCCTGGAAATATCAGCTCTGGCTTCCAGTAAGCAGAGTGGTAAGAGGTCATGAGCCAGCTCTGAATTTGACGTCTGGCTCAATGACTTGATCTTGGGCACGTTGCTTAGACTCTTTAAGCCTCAGTTTTCTCATCTGTGAAATGCTGTAATGTGTAATGTAATGTATGCTCTGTAGAACAGTAATGTTATAGAAGATAGTATCTGTAGTGTGCTTAGCACAATGCCTGGTTCACAGTAAACCTTCAATAAATGTTAGAACAAATAATTATAATAGCCATTATTATTCTTACTCAGGAGAATTGAATCAATATATTAGTTCATCTTAATCTTTATTCATCCTAATCTTAAATTTGTGTACTCTTGTTTTTATAAAACTATGTTGGAGGTTTCTTATTATTTATTTTTAATTCACATTTGTTTTGATTGGATATGTTGGTTTTAAAAAAAAAATCCCGCAAATTATAGGGAATAAATACAAATGGTCGAATCAGTGTGATTTGCCTCACTATTTTTCTAGATATTAGAGCTAAACTAAGATCTGTATTTTCTTGGTAAGGTTGTTCTTTTTCATCTTCAAAAAAATGTCAATCTTTATGCTTTTTTCAGCATTAAGGGACTACACCCATTGGTTGTAGTTACCTAAAACAATATTAATAATTCATGGTAATGCCATTATTTTAATAGTACATGAGAATTTGGGGATAATATTCAAGGCAACTGATTTGAAAATATCTGGTTTTTAAAAAATCACCTTCGGTTACCTAATTTTCCATTTCATTTGTCTTTCTAAATCCCTACTTACCCTCCAAAGATGTCACCTCCAAGACATATCTAATTACAGTTGATAATGTTTGGGAAAAATTAGGTTAAAATGTTTATTATGATTGTTTCATCTTGTGCATGTTGTAAAAGCCAAGAGTGAATATAGTGAAATGTAGAAAACAAATAATAGGAGAGTTTAAGAAAAAAAAATTTGCTATTGATAGATCAAATATAAATCTGCTTTTGGAATTAGAGTCAACAACCAGAATTAACTGTGCCGGCATAAACAAAGTGGGTGTTTCAAGTGTTTGCAAACCAGCAATTTCTAACATAAGAAATGTAACAATAACATCATCCTGAAGGGGACAGCCTTTTCCAGTTTTCCGGCTTCCTCCTTCTTCCTGGAGACTTACTTCCTTTTTGCTTGCACAAATTTGCTTCCTTTTTGCTTGCACAACCACGTAGGTGACTTTTTGACCACAAGAGGGAGCTATTTTATAACTTAACTGCAAAGACTTTGCCATGGAAAAGTTCCCAGCTGCAAAAAATCAGTTATGATTTCTCCTCCTTTGTTTCTTATTTGTTCCACCTACCTCTTAAAAAAAAAAAAAAAGGTTTGTGATTGAAAAATTAATTGTTCAATGATCAGGAATATTCTTTGATAGAATAGCCATTTGATAGAATTAATACCATACTGCTTTAAGTTGTTTTAAATATAAATGCGTTTTATTTACTAATTAACTTCCTGGTCTTAACTGGGAACAAAAACAAAGCAGGTTTATTTGTGTGTGTGTGCGTGTGCACGCATATTATATATGTTTGTGCGTGCATATTATACAAGACACATCTTCTGGTATTTTAAATTACCTCTATGTATGATTTATTATAAATGACATTCTCAAGCTAGACTGAATATATTATGTTTAAAATGTTACCATTTGCTCTAGAAATGGCACCGCCCCATAGCAGAAAGCTTAGGGTACACCTGACATGGCACACAAGGCTATGTCTGCCTTCTGCTTTCCTTTCAAACTAAGTTCTCACTGTCCCGACGGTTTCCCTATGAATTAATGACACCGATTCTTCTAGCTTCCTAAAGCTGATTCAGTTTGTTGCCTACACGACCTATCTACCTTCCCCATCCCTCCCCCATAGCCATATTCCGTGATGGAGGCAGATCCTAGCTCCAACCCTAGGTCCAGTCACTGTCACTCTCATTTCCCACATCAGAAGCGGCAGCAGTCAGGGACAGCAATGCAATGCTGGCCCATGAGACTAAAGGAGAGTCTACTGGGAAGCTCTTAAGAAAGATTCATACTCAGGAAGAGACCACCTCTTTTTCCTTTGGGCATTGTTGTGCCTGGACTGAATGCCTGGAACTGCTGTGGCCGTTAGATGACGAGGAGGAGAAGCGGCCTATGAGTAAAAGCCAAGGATAGCAGAGCAGGAATATGAGAAGGATTTGTGTTTCTGATGGAGGGTTGAGCCGCTGAATTAACCAGTTCTGTTGCCATGCTTCCTCTGGGTTTCTCATTTGAGCTAATACATTTCCTTATTTTTTAGGCTATATTGAGTTAGATTTTCTATTACTGTTAGCCAAGAACATTCTGACAGCTCCCCTAGCAAGGAGCTACACTTTTTCTGTCTTCATGCTTTTTTCCCCTGAAATATGAGAGAGGACCCTTGTTAACTAAGGCACCTCACCCATGTTTCAAGGCCAAGTTCAAATGTTGGTTTCTTGGGAGAGATTTCCTGTCACAGAGAAGCATAATTAGTTGCTTCCTTATCTATGTTCATTTCTATTGCACCTATCATGATTCATATATCTCTCCTTCCCACTGGAGTATGAAATGCCATATAAATTTTATGACAGCAGGAACCAGTTACTGTGTCCCCAATGCCTGGCCCATAAAGGGTGCTGCATAGGTGTTTCTTACTCCTCTCTCTATCTGTAAGAACCTGCATCCTGCTGGTTCCTCATCCTCCTGCATGATAGGAGATCAATAAATGTTGGCTAAATTAGGTTGTAGTATGTTCTGTTAGTTCCATGTGACAAAGGTGACATCGTTGCGAGATGCAATGGGGACAAAGGATGCCATTAAGATAATGAAGACATTGTTGTGGGCCTAAGAGACTGGACTCTGTCCTCTACTTCAATGGCTAAACTCTCCCTAGTGAGTCATTCGTGCCATACTCTTGACCCTAAGTAAAAAGCTGCCATCAAAGCACCAATTCAGAAAAGAACGACTTTCAAAATAAAATATTTAAT